AATGCTACATTATCTACAATGGGAATCACAAACTAAAAAAAATTCTCAGGTACAAAAATAATAAAGAGAAGAGCCGAAGGCTCTGTATACTATACTCTAGTATACAGATGAGGCAGAATGTGTCCCATGCTTTGTTATAAGTAAAGGAGGAGAGGACCAGAAGAGGATGCATGTGCTTGTACTATGCTGAGTTGTGCTACAATTCAGAAATAGACTATATAAGAAAGAGCTAGATGGAGATGAAAATAGATGATACTAGTGGAAAACATCTAAGTTGAAAATGAATTCTGTGTGTTGGGGCTAAGGGGTGAGATTCTGGCACTGGACATACAGATTTACAATATTACCTACTCAAAGCATATGACTTGGGCCTGTAATTTGGGCCAGACACATGGTAGGAGTGGGGGAAGGAGAATCACACTAGGGGTATACTTTGAGAATAATATCTGTATGAATTTACTCTAGGCAAATGACGTATTACCTTAGTCCACTGGCTGAGATCACAATTTGACCATTTTTATAAGCAGTAAGAAAACATTTTCATTAAAGCTTTCTGAAGTGGCAGTAAACACAATCACTGATGTTTTAAAGTGGCATACCATCCTAGATACTTACTGGGGCACAAGTCTCATTGGTAAGCTTTTATCAAAAGTTGGAAGGTTACATTATACCTCATGGTAAACACTTGTTAAGTTTAAGAAAAAGTGTAAATTATGGGCGTGCACACACACACACAATGCAGAGCCATGGAACCTTAAACATCAGTGTTGCTGGTATTGTAGACTAATGCTCATGAGGATCCAAGAGAACTAAGTTGAGTACTGGTGCACAGATTCCATTACAGATTTCACTGGTGGTGGAAAAACAAAGATAAAAGTAAAACGAGACTGAACTAAGGATCACTGGGTATGTTCATCTGAATTCTTGTAGAATTCCTCTTCAAAAAGAGAGAAAATATGCTATCTAAAATTAAAACAATCCACAGAAGAAAAAGTGTCACCTCATTAAATGGGCCCTAAAAATCACAAGGTAAAGGTTCTATTAGTCCAACTTACACACAAAATTGTACTCCTGAGACTACTTGCTGAATTTTAGGATTAATAACAAGTTTTGTGATAATCTTAAGAATGCATACAAATTATGTCAAGCAGAGCTGAGTTAAATTACTAAGACAAGTGAAATTTCCTGACCTCTAATCAAATCTATCTTGTGGGTGACAAATCCCTCAGAGAAACACTTAATGGATTTATTTTTTCACTTGCTCAGCTCTTTCTTCCAAATGCCAGTTGAATACCGGATATTATTTTCTTGCCTTGGCCTACTGAAGTGACACTTAATCAATAAAATAATTACTGAAAGCAGGCTTGAGACTCAACAAGTCTAACGTATATATGAAACGTATATATCTGGACATGAAACGTATATATCTGGACAAATAGTTTGCTCAGGGAGTCTAGTGCAGACAGATTGTGTTAATGTGTCATACTTCAACTTCCACTTTTTAAAGCTTCAAAAGCTTCCTGTGTACAATAACCAGTTGAGGAACAGGAAAAACAAAAGTACTTAATATTCTGTATCAGCTTACAACTGTGACAGATAGTACTGCTTGTCTCCCTCGAGCTATCCCCAGCCTCCATCCTTGCTAACACAACTGTGATTGCTGGATCAGGAAGCACTGGTATTCTGCAGGCCCCTCCGGAATCCCAGGGAGGCATGTGTTGCTTAATCTTAGCAGTTCTCAAGGGATGGGCCTGCACAAGCATCATCAGGAAACCAGGGAACTTCTTAGAAATTATATTCTCGGGTCCCACTCGCAGCCTACTGGGCCAGAACCTCGGGGAGGGGACGAGCAATCTGTGTTTCGTCAAACCCTTCAGATGCTCCTGATGCATGCTAACGTCTGACAGCTCCGGTCTAAACCAGTCGTTGCATTTCTGTTCCCTCTGCCAACTGCTGGATTAGGCTGGGTCACTGTGTGACCAATGAGCCTGGAAGAAGTCTCTCGGGAAGCTTCCAGAATGCTTTACTTGCTCATGTACAGAGAGGAGTGAGAGGAAACAAACCACCCCTTCTATTTTTGGCTCAGATACTGCTGTCTCTTCACATGATGCCCAGAAGTATAGCAGCAATCTTGTAACCAGTAGGTGATAATCCCAAATTCCACACCAGTAAGCCAAGCATGAGCATAGGGGAAAAACTGAAGAGCCTGGCTCCTTGGGGACCTTGAGGACCAGCTCAATGAACCCCAGAAATACCCACATTCCAGAGTCCTTGTTAGGTAATATATTTTTAAAAACTCTGTGTGTGTAAAATACTTTTAGTTGGCCTTCTGTTAGCTTGCAATCCTGACTGGAATAGCTTTCTTTTTTTGAGGTAAGCCCCAAAATAGTATAAACAATATAATGTCACTTTTATATAATCTTCTACGTATTACAGATAATTATATTATAAGGCCACAATGTCTTTTTATAGTCTACATTTGTATTTATTGTTTTTATTTATGATAAATTCTTACAAAATAAAATTCTTTATGATATTCTGTATTTTAATTTGAAGCATTTTTGAAAGGAATTTATGACTTTACTAAGTGAAAATACAGAAACCATTTAGAATGGCATTACTGAAATTATATTCTGGTTTTGGTTCTACTAACTAGTTTGTGGGAAAAGTAACCAAGCAGATTTAGGCCTTGATTTTCTAGCAGACAGAAGGAAAGAGATTAAATCATTGACACAATCTTGTCTATAAAGAATTACACTCCACATTTACTCTTTCAGGGGTCCTGAAAGGCCTCTGCAACAGAAGTTCCTCTTCCACTAAAGATCTCATCAATACAGATTTTTATGGCGACAAGACTTACAGCTCTGCAGTTCCTCAACTGGTTACTGTACACAGGAATACTTCCAGAAGAGGGTGACTAATTAGAGCCGCCAGGCTGAAAGGCTGCAAGCTTGGTGCTTGGGGTTTGTTCCTGCCAACTCCCAATTATTTAGACGAGGAGAAGCATGGTATTCTGTAGGTAAACACTCTTAATCCTAGGCCTCAAATTCACTTGCTGATTTAACTGCCCTCCCATGCAAAAGCACAAAGCCAAGAAGCACAAGCCAAAGCACAGAAGGCCAGACAACTGACTGGTATTTCTACCTTCTACTGGACTCCCACTAGATTCATGCATGACAAAGAGGCAGAGGTGGGCTACAGAGCAGCAGAAGGTCACCAAGGGCAATGACTTAAAAAACTTTTAGCCACAGAGAATTAAAAGCGACTTACAGTAATTATTGAAAAAGAAAAGATGTCCTCATACTGTCACTTCAACTGGTGTTGAAGGAACGGGGAAACCCCTATCTGATGAACTAACACATACAGAGCATTTTTAATGTAATATATTTTAAGGCATCTTTACTTAAAGCATTAGGTATTTAAAAGCTTTATAATGGACAAAGAAGATAGCAACAACTTCCTCGAATCAGAGAGCCTCTCCTAGAAGGGAAATGCTGCAGCATTATTACTAAAACAAGGGCCACCGAACACCTAGTAACATCTGTGCCAACGTGACCACAAGAGGCGGACAATGAGATCTCAAGACAATATAAAGCTTTTCTCCGTAAATGAACCAGAAATATCAACACAGGTAAACACTTTTACAATAAATTGACAATTTAACCAGACTCATTTATTATCACCAAACTTCATTCCCTTCATTATTATAATACTAAAACCAATGCCCAAGCTGCAGAACTCAGAGGCAAAAGACCAGGTACACAACTGATACACAGTGAGTTTATTTTTTCTTGTGCCAGGCTTCTCCTCAAAAAAGGATCTGAAGTTGAAATGGGGTGAATGGGCAGGACAGACTACATGAACGGATGGGGAAGAGGTGCCAAGGATACACAGTACCTCCACCCCTACTGACCTGTTTAGTTGCTGGATTTTGTGATATGCTTTAATTTAGAGATCAGTTTAAGTATTAGTTTAAGTGGGATAACTGGTCTGTTTACAATGGTAAGAGGGGAATTCTAAAAGAATACCTACTTTACGACAGAATGAGAGAGCCTGAAGAGTTCACTAGCAGGTCAACAGTGCAGGTGGGTTACCTGCCTATGAGCTCTTTAGCTAAAGAGTAACTAGCAAAGAAAGGAAAATAGCAATGCCACTTCTAGAAATATATTCTAAGAAAAAAATTAGGAACATCCACGAAAATTTAGCTCAGGGAAATTCACTGTAGGACTCTATAAAATAGAAGGCTGATCAAACAAATCATGTTGCAGTTGTCCAGCGGAATACCATTAAAGTAATTTTAAATAGTGACACACATAAGTATTTAAAGACACGTTAAGATGTCAGCTATATACTGAAAGCTACGAAGCAATACAAACTACATGATCCCATTTTTGTGCTAAAATGTCAGAATATGGTTAGAGACTGGTATACCTATATTATACATATGCACAGAAAGAATTCCGGAAGTACATAAAACCAACTATGGTGAGATCATGGGTCCTTCCACATTTCCTGTTTTTGTTTAGCTCGAATTCCTAATTTTATTTTTCTATAAGCATATGCTGATTTTATAATGAGAAAAAAACTGCCAAAATATTTAATGGACAGATACAAATATTTACATATATTCATTGTAGCTCATTTACTATCAAAGGAAAAGAAAGATTTGCTTTAATAGGTGTTATTATATGGAACTGTTATTGTGTTGTTGGTTTTTTAAAGATTTTATTTATTTGAAAGAGAGAGAGAGACAAGAGTGAGAGGAGGGTTTAGGGGCAGAGGGAGAGCAGACTTCCCACTGAGCAGGGAGCTGGACATGAGGCTCAATCCCAACCTGAGATCACAACCTGAGCCAAAGTCAGATGATTTAACCGACTAAGCCACCCAGGCAACCCGGAACTGTTTTTTTCAACAGTACTAGAAGAAATGGGACGTTGCCTTCAGCAAAACTCTCCTAAGTACAGAAACTACTGACATGGGAGATCAAGAGACATACTTACGGCTGAGTGAAATCACGAGTGATGAAGTCAGAACTCTTGAACAACAGAAAGATGTCGCTGAGGGTTTTACATTTCAGAGAACTGTTCATTGCTATCCAGTATGCATCCTAAATAATAATGATAAAGCACACTCAACTTAGCATATATTCCATGTCAGTTGCTTTGAATGAGGTTCAGGCCCATATACAAAACTGATAATGCACATTACATTTTTTTTTAATTTTTTTAAATTTATTTTCAGCGTAACAGTAGTCATTGTTTTTGCACCACGACCAGTGCTCCATGCACATTACATTTAAAGAAAAAATTCAGGTGAGACATTTTAACTATACTGTCCAGTGTCAAATCGTACTTCTAAACGGCCAAGAGCAGGGCTACTGCATGCTGGGTTACGAACACGGAGCTGGTAAGGTCCTTACCTTCCCACTCAGGCCCCAGCACTTCCCTGCGTTTGTCTTACTGATGATGAAAGAGGGGGGAAAAAGTATCAGAAGTGCTGACACTTCAGCTAAAAGATCAAGGTGTAAAGAAAGAGCCCGACTGGCTACTCTCTAAGAAAAAGGAGATCCCTTCTTGCTTCTGGGCAGTGAGAGCTGGGACACCTGAAGTGTGAGGGCTAGAGCAGTTCAGACCCATGTCTACCAAATCAGGGAGAGAGGAGATGAGATGCACCATTACAGCTTTCAACGGTGAATGTCTCATACATATGAACCAGAAAAAAGGTAAGAAGAGCAGGCACACTAGGCATAAGGCTTAGCAAAACATGCCTAAAAATGACAGAATAATTAAGTCATTTATTAAACATACTTCTCCCATAGATCAGACACAGGGCAGTATCTAATTTCGAGAAAACTGCAAAAAAATATCTAATTATCCACACACGAAAGACAGCAGTGGCACATAGTAGGCACACAAAAAGTAAAATATAAATGAATAAATGAACAACTTCAAACCACAAATAATCTGTCATTCTTAAGTGTAAACCCTCAGCCCAGTTCAGCAGTAAGAAATGATTCAAGTTACTGCTCATATAAAACTAAAAATGGGATTGAATAACTTCTTTATAATAACCTCTTTACAATTTCTCCCAGTGAAAAAGATGATGAACTTCTGGTTGAGAATGGTACACTGACCAGAGATTTAATTCCACTGAAATAATGGTAGATGCACAGGAAACCATGAACTCCAGGGAGAACAGAAGAGTGAACAAGAACACGAAATCATCCTATAGAGATGCGCAGAGAACAGGAACACTGAATGATCCTACCTATCAGATGTGCACAGAGTCTGCGTTACCAGAACATCAGAGACACTACAACCTGACCTAATCAATACATGACAGTACTCAGCTGAGGAGAGTGGAATATAAAGTAGCGAGAATGGGAGAAGAGAGAGCAGAACCTTCTCATTTCTGAGTGGGCAGTAATAATGAATACTGACAGCTAAAATAGTAAAGGAAAATGACAAAAGAAAGCATTGAAATAGTGACAGCCATTGCCTCTGAGGAATAAGAAATGGCAAAGCGAAGGAAGTATCAGGACCTGCTGGTTTGGGGAGCAAGAGTCCAGATCTTTTAAAAATTTAAGTGATGGACATGCATAACTAATTTTAACCAGTAAAAATAAAGGCTAGATTAGGTACAATTTGTCATTCATTTTAGAATAAGAAAAGAAAGGCACACGGGATGATTTTTGAAAATGCAGGTAAATCTTTGAGTCTTTAAATGAACTCTGCTGCCATAGTTGTTTTCTATTGGTTTAGAAAAAAGACCAAATTTTTCCACAGACCTTGACGTAAAAACAACTTGTCAATGCATGTCATAATGATAAAATACAATTTAAGAAAATGTCAGCTGAATTCTTTAATGGCTCTATGTCTAGGTCCTGTTACTTTTTAATTTTCATTATTTTTCAACAGAGAAAAATTTCTCTGTTACACTGAACAGCTAAAGTTTTGAAAGAGGCAGAGAATGGCCTTCCTCGGGTTCTAGTACGATCAGCAACGTAAGAGGCTGCAACTTTCTTCTGGCAAACTATATAGTATTTTACAGACTCAGGAACGTGGAAAATCAGGAAAGTAAGAGGGGGAAAAATAAAAATAAATACCACAGTGTTTTCCCTAGAATTAGAAATAAAATTAGACCCTCTGTGGGGATATAAAAGGAAATGAATAGCAAAACAAAGAATATTCAAACAGCTGAGAGATTTACTGATGTGTTCCTACCCTTGGGGCACTCCAGTTAAGCTTAGGAAATACACTGCCCCCCAGGGAATTGATAGCTTCTTGGACTTTCGTGGTAAACTCGGGAAATTCCGGTGCCTACAGAGAGAAAGGAGAAATCATTTGGGCAGGTTGATAACAGCACAATAAATACAGAAAACAAGATCAAAATCTCAAGGTTAAACAATTAGGCATGTTAAAAATAAGTTAGAATACAAATTACTATCAGAATTTCTGAACTGAGCTAAATAAAATCAATGATCAAATATTTACCAGAAAGGCAAAAAAACCCCCAAAAAAACAAAACAACAACAACAAAAAAAAACGAGTGCCCAAATGGTACTTTCCAAAAAACAATCAAAACCCAGGAAGCTTAAAAGACAGATGTCACGAGGCACCTGGGAATGTGAGGAAGGACTGAATGGTTCTCTTAACATCTACAGAACTAACAGTTATTAAGTGGAGAGACAGATGGAATGTCACCTGTACCCATACTCCAACACTCCGAAATAACACCTCACATTTAAAGGGCCAGAAGCCTTTCCATCTAGAGGAAAAGATTCTTGGGCATATCCCCAAAAGCCTTCATGAGAATGAGAAATAAATGATATGCTTAACTGTATTTAAACACTGCTATTTCCAGACAAGTTTTAATATAAACAAAACTCAAAAACAGGACTGTAGTGCAGTTTAAATGTTCTTTCCTTTTGGGTTGATTTTAAAATGCAGTTTATATAAGTAACCAAAACGTAAGAGTGTCATTTCAACCAGGAAGTCAAGAGAAACAGTATGAAGAAACACTCTTCTGTGAGCCTTATGTCCCTAGCTAAGGAGCACATGAACATTAGCAGAGAAAAGGGGACTGAGATGCGGAAGTGGGGTCTGCAGGGGACAGAATACAAAAACATTAACAGGTTTGCCAGTCACATTATCCCTTTATATCTGCCGCCCCCTACTGGGCAACTGCATATTCTGAGAAAGTCCAGTAATGAGTTCTTCCGTAGAGGCAAAAAACGTTAATTAATACACACTGCTTCTGTTAACCCCCATGATCTAATCCAGCTACGACAGAAAGAAAACTGTGTTAAGAATCTAGGAAACATAGCAAAAAATGTCAGTTTAAAATAATAGGTGACCTATCCCTCAAACTAGAAACCAGCTTTAAGCAGTAGGCTAGTGAGTAAAGGGAGAAATCACAGCAGACTGGATCCCCTTCCTCTCGCCTACAAATGTCTATGCTGTCCAGACAGGCTGGCAGCATCTTCAGTATCTGCAACCGTGTCATCTTCCTTGTGACATCTTCAGCTTAGACACAGGAAATCAAACAGCTGCCATTCAGAGAGGCTTTCAAAATGAGTACAGCCTGAGTCCTTTACCTACCATTTGCCTCTCCCCATGAGAAGGAATTATGATGTATGTTGAGCCAATAATTTCCTTACGACCGGCTGAAGTTGCTGATGTGGCTCAGTTACTAGGGTACTATCCATAAAAACACTTATCTAAAATCTGCATTAGTGGGGCGCCTGGGTGGCTCAGTGGGTTAAGCCTCTGCCTTCAGCTCAGGTCATGATCCCAGTGTCCTGGGATCGAGCCCTATATTGGGCTCCCTGCTCGGCGGGAAGCTTGCTTCTCGTTCTCCCACTCCCCCTGCTTGCATTCCCTCTCTCGCTGTGTCTCTCTCTGTCAAATAAATAAATAAAATCTTTAAAAAAAATAAAATCTGCATTAGCAATATTTTCAATGAATAGTGTAGTTATATAAATTTTACAACACGAAGGATTCAACTTTCAAAGACAAAACAATTTTCCTAACCCATAAAATTTCCCATTGCTTTATATTTTATGTATTATGAGAGGTGACAGATTCCCTCAAATCCTCAAATTACTCAACTTCAGGAAATCCTGCTGTCAGGATCCTAAAACAAACTTAAATTATAAAGTTTACGTATTGTGGAGAAAAACATGTGCTTCAGTGGAAGACCTATGTATTATCTACCTATAGCACACCCTTTGGATGATCGGATTCTAGCTAGGTCTATGAGCTGTTTTACAACTTGACACGTACGTTAAGTGATAACAATGAAAAGTATTTCTATGGACATAAAAATTCTACCCTGCTTGATAGAGAGCCAAATGTCTCCCCTGCCCCGCCACCCTTGAGAGGCAAAACCAATTTTGCCTCATTTACATATTCATTTCAATATTTCTGATCTATAAATGTGTCTGTCCATTGCATTCCCTTTGGAGCCACTTAAAACATCTGTTTAGATCCCCCATGAGTTAAATAAAAACTTCAACATGTGTTAAAGATTTTTATATTAGTATGGGAGTCATGAGTCTACCTTTCTGAAAATTATCTTTCAACAGATTTAACTAATAGAATTCTTTTAAGCTCATAGCTCAAAGAGTTGATTTTAAATATGCAATACACCTCAGTTTTCCAGGAAAAGGTTCCTGTTGTGATTGATAAAATCCACATTTTTCATCATATCTGGGGACTTTCTGTAATCCAAACTCCATCTTTCCAACTACACCTACCATACCCATTCAGAAAGGGTATTTCTTCCTCTTTTTTTTAATCATGAAATTTTTAAAATATCTCATATATATATATATATAAATATATACACACACACACACACACACACACATATGTGTGTATGTATGTATATATATATATATACCTGTGTTCCTGGATTCATACATTCAACAATTTGGTATACTTAACCCAGACCTTTAAATTTCTTAAGGGGACAAGGTTACAACGCAAATGAAGCTCCTAGGGCGCCTGGGTGGCTCAGTTGGTTAGGCGACTTCCTTCGGCTGGGGTCGTGATCCTGGAGTCCCAGGGTCGAGTCCCACATCAGGCTTCCTGCTCCGCGGGGAGTCTGCTTCTCCTTTTGACCCTCCCCCTTCTCATGCTCACTCTCTGTTTGCACTCTCTCTCTCTCTCTTATTCTCTCCTCTCAAATAAATAAAATCTTTAAAAAACAAACAAAACCAAATGAAGCTCCTTACTTGCTCACTCTCCTCCCTAATCTTCACCCCTCTCCTCCCCACAGGCAACCAGCATTACAGACTTGGACATATTCTTCTAGAGTCATGATTTATACTGAATGATAATATGTGCCTGTCCATAAATTACAGCATTTTAAAAATTTAATACAACTGCTGTCATTGATACGTATACTTTTAGCAAACTGCTCTTGCTTTTGAGATTTACCCACCTCAATGGAGTTTTCCCATTTTTTTAAATGTATTTTTATTTATTTATTTATTTATTTGACAGACAGAGATCACAATAGGCAGAGAGGCAGGCACAGAGAGGGAAGCAGGCTCCCCGCTGAGCAGAGAGCCCGATGCAGGGCTCAATCCCAGGACCCTGAGATCATGACCCGAGCTGAAGGCAGAGGCTTAACCCACTGAGCCACCCAGGTGCCCCTGTTTTCCCATTTTTAATTCAGTGTTTCTGTATCTAGATTAATGGACTCTTACCATTCATCAATACCTTATATTTTCCTCCTTGGGTCCTGGCCCAGATTCCTCTACTAAGAGTGTTCCACCATGAATATTCTCCTGCTCAACAACATCTAGTTCCACCCAGCAAAACCCAAATCATTTAGTAACTTTTTATTTTGAAATAATTTCAGAAAGCATTAAAAGAAGAGTAGCAAGAATTTCCATATACTCTTCAGCCAGTCTTTTACCCTGTTTGTTTTATCATTCCACATCCAAACCTTTCTCTCACAGGTCTATGCAGGTGTGTGCATTTACTTATATATACACACATATAAATAACAAAATTTTTTCTTATATTCTTTAAGTAAGTACAAGTCATCCTGCCCTTTTACCCCCAAATACTTCAGGATGTTTCCTAAAAGAGCAGGAACATTCTTTCACAGAACCTAGCAAAATGATCAAAATCAGGGAGCTAAAAAAAAAAAAAAAAAAATCAGGGAGCTAACACTGATAGAATACCATTATCTTATTTACAGATCTTATTCAAAATGTGCCCATTTTCCCAATAATGTCCTTTATAGCAAAAGAAAAAATTTCCTTTTTTTTTTTTTAAAGATTTTTATTAATTTATTTGACAGGGAGAGAGAGATCACAAGTAGGCAGAGAGAAAGGCAGAGAGAGGGGGAAAGCAGGCTCCCTGCTGAGCAGAGAGCCCAATGCAGGGCTTGATCCCAGGACCCTGAGATCATGACCTGAGCCGAAGACAGAGGCTTAACCCACCGAGCCACCCAGGTGCCCCAAGAAAACATTTCTTTCTGACCAAGGACCCACTCCAGAATCACACCACTGCATTTAGCTGTCATGTCTGCTTGATCTTTAATCTGTAATAGTCCTTCTTTATGTTGTCCTTTATCTTTCATGACCTTGATATTTTTGAAGAGTACTGGCAATTATTCTATATAATTTCCAAAGAGCTGCGGGAGTTTGCGGGAGGTTTCCTCATGATTTGATTTAGGTTATCCACATTTGGCAGGTGGTGTGTCCTTCTTAGTGCATCATATCAAGAGGTACACAATGCAGGTCTGCGCCATCACTGACAAGGTTAACTATGATCATTCAGCTACCAGGTCTTTCCACTATAAAGTCACTATTTTCCTCTTTATAATTAACAAGTAATTTTGGTGGAAATATCTTGAGAATATTAAAGTATCCTCTTTCTCATCTAATATTCACCCTCTAGTTTTAACATCTACTCGATGTATTACTGTGATGATTGCCAAATGATGGTTTCTGATTCCGTAATTCCTTCTGCATTTGTGAGCTGGTGCCTTTTCTACTATAAAAAGAGCTTTCCCTTCTGCTCCCATTTATTTAATACAATCATTTAATTGTCAGTATGGGATCACAGATCACGGATCTTAGCAAATGGTTATACTCCATTAATATCCCTGTTTTGACAATCGGCTATTTGGCTAGGAGGAACCCATTCAAGCTGTCATGTCTGCCTCATTCTTACTTTCTGACACAGTCACAAGTTCATCTTCTCTCTCCTACCCTCAGTCTTAACTTTCTCCAAAGGGCTTCAACTCCTTTCAGTGGAGAAGGTATCTGGAAACCAAGATCAGGGCACTAGGTATGCTCACTGCCACCATGATGTCACCACATCACTGCTTCCAGTCCTTAGTGAATAGAGTTTGGTACATACACACATGTAAATTATTAATTTCCCTATCTAGCCATCTATTAGAAAGCATGAGCTGGGGGCACCTGGGTGGCTCAGTGGGTTAAGCCTCTGCCTTCGGCTCAGGTCATGATCTCAGGGTTCTGGGATCGAGCCCTGCATTGGGCTCTCTGCTCAGCAGGGAGCCTGCTTCCTCTTCTCTCTCTGCCTGCCTGTCTGCCTGCTTGTGATCTCTATCTGTCAAATAAATAAATAAAATCTTTAAAAAAAAAAAAAAAAGAAAGAAAGCATGAGCTGGCACTGATAATCCTCACCACTTTTAGGGTCTAGGTCAAATACTATGTCTCCCTTTCCCCATTTCTAGATGACCTCAGTTCCAATTGTTACCCTCTATGTTCCGACAGCACTTCGTCATCTACTCCCAAACTGAGGCATCTTTCCCTGCGGGTTTATAAACTCGCTAATGGCAGGAATCAAACCAAATTCCTCTTTGTTCAGAACCCACTGGAGTGCCCTAAATATAAGAGATCACTAATATGCATGTTTAACTGAACAGGATTTTCAGACATGCAGAGGGACTGACTTGCACGATACCCGGAGTAAAATAAGGCATTGAAACTTTCTCTTTCTGCATATGTTGGCATGCTTTTCATACCTAAGGAAATATACTGGTTTAGGCATCTCCACTTACTTTTCTTGTACTGTGGATACCAGTTCTCTTCCATTAAAATAAACAGAAGTATCTTATTTAGAGTTGTATTAGACTATAACTTTCCCTAAAACTAGTTTCCCTTGTGCCTGTACATATATTTGCAGAAAATTATATAAAAACCTTTCTCTTTTATCTCAAGTTATAATAAGTTTCATTTATCTACTATATTTGTAGAAATACATGTTTTACCACACTCATTCCTTTAAAAAGTATTTCTATTAAAAATATATTTCAAGTTGAATTAGACAACAGCATTCTTAGCATCAAAGACCATAATATACTCAATCAACTTCTACATTTTTATGATATTGGTTAAAGCCACACACTTCTCTGCTCTCCTTTGAAAGAAACTGTAATTTTTATGCCATTTAAATATACTTAAATGAGTGACTATAGATTTTACTTTAATTCAGGTTCCACAGATCTGGGAACCTCAAAACTCAATGTTAGGCTTAATTACTTCTTTCAGAGCTCACCAGACACAAGTCAAGGCACCAACTATGCACTTAAAATACTTCCTTTGAAATCAAAGGGAAAGAAGGGCAGGCCATATTTACCTATAAACAATGATTCAAGTTATTTTTCAAAGTAATCTATCAAAACCAACAGAGAAACATACATCTGAAATAGTGAGTAAAAGGGATTGAGAGAGATGTGGACTGAAACCCTGAAGCATCCTAAGCAACAGTGTGAGGCTGTCCCCACACTAGCATGGCTCTGCTCTTACCGTAAGCGTAGCCGTGTTCTCGTCATCCGACCACTGCACGAAGAGGACAGAAACAAAATATTAAATGTGGATAGTGTATTGGCCTTCCAAAAAGCAATGCTCCATCTAAAACTGATACATAAATACAAGAACACCTCTTTCTGAAGACAAACTACACATCAAAGTGAGGTTTTTGTATAATTTCTCACTTTACCAAATGTATGCTAAGATGTAAATATCAGAACCATAAGAGGGCTCATTTAAATTACAAGAGTCTATAGAATGGATTTTGTTTTTTGAACAAACCTGTATTTCTTCTGCCTCATCATCACTGTCTGGTTGAGAATGTGTTGGTGGATCTTCCCTAAAAGAACATAAAACAAAAATTAAGCAAGAAAAATGCTTCGGTACCATGTATGTAGTCATCATTTCATAAGGGGAAAAAACATAAAGAAAGATAGCCTCAGAATTAGAGGATGTTAGGAAAAGTTCATTTTTTAGGGGCACCTGGGTGGCTGTCAGTCAAGTGTCTGCCTTTAGCTCAGTCATGATCTTGGGGTCCTGGGATCAAGCTGGGCATCAGGCTCCTGGGACAGAGTCCCACGTCAGGCTCCCTGATCAGAGGGAAGGCTGCTTCTCCCTCTCCCTCTGCCCCTCCACCCCACTCATGCTCTGTCTCTCTCTCTCAAATAAATAAACACAATCTTTAAAAAAAAAGTTCATTTTTTGAGACAGAAACTAATAAAAGCTGATATAAAATTAATGAGTACGCTGCCAAAAGAGACAGAAGAAACACTTTCTGCCCTCTTCTCAGAAATCACTAGAACCAAGGAAGAGAAAACCTTCAACTCCGGCTCTGAGGACACGAGCAGTCATCTACAACTCTGAATCCCGACATATGAGGAAGTGCCACCACAGACAAGGAAAATCAAGTGAGATGAAGGAGCCAAAAGGAATCATCCAGAGAGCTGTTCTACCGAAGAGCTGGAATACCCCAGGGAGGCAAAATCAAGAATCTTTTGCTTATATTGTGACAACGCAGCATGTGGGCTGGTGTCAACAATTACCCTGGATCGGGACAGGCACAACAGAAAGGCGTGGGGGAGACAGAGAGAGAAAGACTCAGACATGCTATCTTTGAAGAAGCCTGTGAGCAAAGCACATGTTGAAAAGAACCAGCGAACAGCCAATCTTCATTGCCTAGGGAGGAAGCAAAGGCTGAAAACAGAGTATTTCCTCTCTAAACAATAAACCACAAATAATTGGCCTGTGAAGAACTCACGACATCAATGAAAACAATAATAATCAGAACAGGAACCAGCATAGGATCTGTACCAAGAAACTTCAAGAAGGGAAGGGGAGGGTTCTGGTTGACCATGGGCAGTTCTCTATCCTATGCTCCCTCTTGAAACACCACTAAAATGGTAGGGAAAATCCCAAGGGAAAAAAAAGGACCAAAAAGGAGACAACTGCAGAAAAGAGACAGCAAAAAAAGTTTGGAAAACAGAAAGCCAATGAGGAGGATAACCCAGTGAGCAACAGGCAGAACCTAGACCTACCACAGATGATGGAAAATGAAGCTCTGGGCTACCAACAGGTGACCTGTGTCCACAGCAGGGTCAGTCCGCACACAGCCCTCCTCACCCTGCATACCCTAACAATTAATCCTTCTCCATGAACCAAAGAGGCTAAGGACTCAGGTCCATAATGCCCCAGAGGAAAATGAGGGTGAAATGCTACAGTATGTTGAGAAGCCATGTGAAAGTCACACTGACTGAGGCCACCAGTCCCCTTCCTCCCACCCTGCTCCCAGAACACACACAGATTACAAGACTTTTCTCTGTAGAAACTAAACCACCTCAGAGGACAGACCTACAGATAAGATTCACTGGAAAACTTCCATCAATACCTGCTGATTGCTGGCACTCTTAGTCAGCAAGCCTCACCTGAATACAGAATGAATGAGTATGAGTTTGAGTGTGTATGTCCAATAGGAATAAAGGCCTAGAATCATACAAAACTAAAGAAAGGCTCCAAGATGAAAAACAGTATTTTTAAAAGGAGAGAGAAAAGGTAATATATAAGAAACAGACATTAAAGGGACCAGGTGAAAAGTATTTTTAAAAATCATTAATAAAAAGATAAAAGAAGATATTGCATCCATGAGAGAAAAACAGGAAGCTGTAAGAAAGGAACAAAGGAGAGGTGCCTAGGTGGCTTAGTCAGTTAAGCATCTGACTTTTTTTTTTTTTTTAAGATTTCATTTATTCATGAAAGACAGAGAGAGAGAGGCAGAGGCAGAGGGAGAAGCGGGCTTGACTCTGTCCCAGCACTCCCAGGATCATGGCACCCTAAGTATCTGACTCTTGATCTCAGCTGAGGTCTCGATCTCAGGGCCATGAGTTCAAGCCCCATCTTGGGCTGCCTGCTGGACAGGGAACCTACTTTAAAAAATAAATAAATAATTTTTTTTTTTTTTTTCAAATAAAGGAAAAAAAGGAACAGAGGACAGTATTAAACCTGAAGAAATGAAAACATGCAGCTGCTATTTAAAGATTCAATAGGGGACACCTGGGGGGCTCGGTAGGTTAAGCATCTGACTTGGGCTCAGGTCATGATCCCAGAGTCCTGGGATCAAGCCCCATGTCAGGCTCCCTGCTTAGTGGGGAGCCTGCTTCTTCCTCTCCCATTCCCCCTGCTTGTGCTCACTTGTGCTCTGTCAGTAAAAAAATTTTTTTTTAATAAAAAAATTTTTTGGGGCACCTGGGTGGCTCAGTGCATTAAGCCACTGCCTTCGGCTCAGGTCATGATCTCAGGGTCCTGGGATCGAGTCCTGCATCAGGCTCTCTGCTCAGCAAGGAGCCTGCTTCCCTCTCTCTCTTTCTGCCTGCCTCTCTGTCTACTTGTGATCTCTCTGTCAAATAAATAAAATCTTTTAAAAAAATAAATTTTTTAGGTGCCTCGTTAGCGCAGTAGGTAGCGCGTCAGTCTCATAAAAAAATAATTTTTTTTTAATTTAATAAAATGGGGGCATCTGTGTAGCTCAGTCAGTTAAGCATCTGTCTTCAGCTCAGGGTCCTGGGATTGAGCCCTGCATCAAGCTCCCTGCTTGGCGAGGAGCCTGCTTCTCTCTCTCCCTCTGCCTGCTGCTCCCCTTGCTTGTGCTCTCTCTCTCTGTCAGATAAATACTATCATTTAAAAAAAAAATTCAACAGAATGAATGGCAAAATGAAGGAAATTTCCCAGAAAGAACTAAGAAGACAGAGAGACAACAGAGAAAGAATGATACAATTCAGAGATTCCAACAAGCTTCAGTATCTAAATAACAGGAGTTCGAGAAAAAGAAACCAGAAAATATGAGAAAATTGCCAAAGATAGAGTATTTTTTAAATGTTCCCAAACTGAAAAATACATCTCTAGAATGGAAGGGCTCACCAAGTACACAGCACAGTGAATGCGGGGTGGGGGAGGACTCAGGCGACTTGCAAAGGCGACCACAATAATTCTTCCCATCTAGTCTGACACACTCCTCTATGGGGTGACTGCCACTCTTCCCATCAAAAAGTGGCATTTATGTCCCCCATTCCTTTCATTTAAACTGGCTTCAAGACTCACCATGACCAACAAAATGTAGCCAACTGACACCATGTAATTCTAGGTGTCAGAAACCTTTACAGCCTCTGCTCTCCTGTTTGGAATGCTTCCACCAACTATGTGAAGATGCTAGGGTAGTCTTCTGAGATGAGAGACCACATGGAAAGAGAGGCCCAGCATCAACGGCCAGACATGGGAATGAGGCCACCCTAAAACACCTAAGTATTCAGCAGAACCACCAAATGACAACAACATGATCTTAGCAAGACCAAGAGAAGACTCACCCGGTGTCAAGAAGCGTAGGGGTTCTGAGATTTTACCCTACTTGCAAGCTAACAGGCTAGCTCGTCACAGTTTCTTGGACTCTGGCAGAAGACCCAAGATGCCTAGGTTAGAAACAAAGGACTCTTTGACTTACAGCACAGCATCAAGCATGAGCTTCATCTGTCCATCAGATTCCACTGGCCCCTCTGTCCCAGGAGAGATCAAAGAGTGGCCCAGGTTTGCCTCACAACTGAGGAACCCTGAATTTAGGGAACCTCATCTTTTATAATGGGCTGCAGGTGAACCTGTTTGGTCTGGGACCCAAGGGCAGACACACTTGTCTTTACCTGTACTAGACAGTAAATAAACCTGCTCTCTGCTAGGGAGGGAGCCACTACCTCTACCTTCCAAGCTGTTTGCTATATAAACATCCTAGAAAGGACAGTCAAGAACAAAAGCTTTAGTGCCTCTGCGTGCAAGACAAGCAATAACTGAGATGCGAGAATTGTCTCTCAACACCCACCTGAGCAATCACGGACAAACAAAATGTTTATTGTTCTAAGTCAGCATGTTTGGGCCATTCAGAGGACTATCATGAAATATAAGACATAAAAGAGGAATTCTCAAAAACATTCATAAAGAAAACTGGGTCACAATAAAGGAAGACAAATCAAAATGACGAAGGACCTCACAGCATTCTAGAAGACAGCAGACCATACCTTCAAAATCACAAGGGAAATCTTCTGCCTAGAATCCCATACTAAACCAATTCATGCCCCCACCCCACCGCCCGGAAAATCTATAGTAGAATAAAAAATTTTTTCAGGTATGGAAAGACTCAAAAGTGTTTCCTCCTATGCACTGCAGAGCATGACAGTCAATAAAACAAGTAACTCAAGAGACCCAAAAATGTGATATCCAAGGGAGAGAAAATAACACAAAATAGTAAAGTATCAGGATGACAACTGTATACCAGACCTGAAGAGCTACCAGGCGGAACAGGACGATGGGGGATTGCTAAAATGAAATATCCAGGAAAGGAAAATGGAAGTGATCCATCCGGAAGTGTCCATGAGTATTTAGAGAAATAGCTAACAGGCTATGACCTGTCTCCTGAACAGTTACTAGGTATTAGTGAGAGACACATGGAAAACAAAGCACATTTAAAGAGCCTGGTTATTAGGAAAGAAAAGGTAATCACATTGTGGCTCAGCAGCCACAATAATGTAGTATATTGTAACTAATGACTCTCACTTAACCAAAAACTGTAATGAACGTAGAGAAGGCACAACAAAACTAAATCTTCAGGGCGCCTGGGTGGTTCAGTGGGTTAAGCCGCTGCCTTCAGCTCAGGTCATGATCTCAGGGTCCTGGGATCGAGTCCCACATCAGGCTCTTTGCTCAGCAGGGAGCCTGCTTCCCTCTCTCCCTCTCCGCCTGCCTCTTTGTCTACTTGTGATCTCTCTCTGTCAAATAAATAAATAAAATCTTTAAAAAAAAAAAAAA